AGCTCCAGCTAATTGATGTTGTGGGTCAGGTCCGCTGGAGTCCAAAGGCCCTGAGCCATGTGGCCTTGACGATGGGACCCCCAACCAAAGAGGCTGGCATCTGATATAATCGGGATGCGGCTGGGCTCCTTGAAGAGGCAGCCCTTGCAGCGCTGGAGACATCCACCAGTGGAGGGAGTGCAACACGTCTGGGGGAACACGTACCTTGGTGCCTGAGTTGCTGCTGCCTGACCGTTGGTACGGAAGCAGGAACCAGTGAAGGGTCCTGGCGTGCAGTCTCGCCCAGGAAATGCACTGAAATGCATGACACAAACATCCCCAACAGCCGAGCTAGTAGGGCAACTGGCACCCGTCATTCTGATCTTACTTGCCAGATCAGGGAAGTCAGGTTGTCCTTGCGGTCCTGGGAGAGGAAAACCTGTCCCAGCCTGGTGTCAATCTCCGTCCCCAAATGCAAGAGCCTCATGACTGGAACCAGATGACTCTTTGGGAGGTTGACGGAGAATCTGTGCTGTCACAGAACAGTGATTGTTGTCTGCAGTGCCACCATGGCCTCGTCGAAGGAGGATGCTTGCACAAGAATACTGTCTAAGTAGAATTGTAGACGAATTGGTATTGACCGGAGGTAAACTGCCAGTGCCGCTAGAACCTTGGTGAAGGCTCGGGGTGCTGACGTTAGTTCGAAGGGCAATGACCTGTATTGGTAATGAATCTGTTTGAAGCAGAAGCATAGATATTGACGATGTGCCGGGAGGATTGGCACATGGAGGTAAGCCTCTGTAAGGTCTATAGATGCCAGGAAGTCACCCTCCCAAACTCCCTCTATGATGGAGGTGAGGGAGTTCATTTTGAACCTTTTGTAGACCAGATACAAATTTAATTTCTTTAGGTTTAAAATTGCTCTCCACCCCCGCCCCCCGAAGATTTTGGAACCATGAAAAGGGTGGAGTAAAACCCCCGTCCCTTTAGGCTCTCTGAAACCACCTCGATTGCTTGAATCTCCAGCAGATTCTGGATGGCGGCGTCCATGAGGCCTTCCCTTTCACTGCTTTGTGGTATGGGGCATCAAACAAAGTGGTTTGGAGAAGGGGAGAGAAAGTCCAAACTGAGGCCGAGCCTCACTATATTGAGGACCCAGAGGTCACTCGTAATCATCTCCCATTGGGGCCAAAGATTGCCAATCAGCCTCCAATGGGGGCTTTGGTTATGTAGTCATCTTGGTCTATGAAAGGCGCAACCTCCTGCCCCTCGAAAGGGCCTCTTGCTCTGGATGTTCTGCCTGGGCTGGTTGCGAAACCCTGCCCTATCCGGTTGATGCTCTGTTGGCGGGGGAAAAAAGTGTTATTGAAAAGAAGGACTCAAATCAGGCCGATATGAAGGCCTGCGATAATGTGGTGTGGTGCGTTGATCACCTTTCTTTTTTTTTCTTTTCTTTTCTTTTTTTTTGGTTTTAAAAACAAAACTTTATTAAACATATAAAAGTCAAATACTATGTATATACAAGATACATATATATCAATACTAATGACAATACATAAAAAGAAAAAGTGACTTCTTAAAGGATGATGGAAGGACTCTTCACTTGTCCTTATTTTCTATGAGAACCAGTTCCAGAGCCTCCCCAAAGAGGGTACCCGTTCTATAAGGGGACAAGGCCAGTCGCCATTTGGACATGGCATCCGCTTGCCAACTGGGGAGCCAAAGCACTATCCTTGATGTTATGGAGGCAGCTAGGGATCTAGGAGCATACTTAGCTATGGATAAGGTTGCATCTTGAGAGAATTGCGTGGCAGCAATCAGCTTATTCAGTTCCTGGTGGAGCCTGGTCTTGCTGGGTGGAACCCTCTGCTGCATCTGCTGTGACCACAGCAGCGATGTGCGATTAAAAAATGAGGCTGCTGATGCGGCCTTTATCGCCCAGGCTGAAGATTGGTGCGCCTTGCGCAACGTCAATTCTACTTTCTTATCGTCTGTCTTAAGCCCTTCCGCTATGTTGCTGGAGACTAGTGCAGGTGAGACAAGCAATGCCACTGAAGCATCTACCTTGGGCAATTGTAGTTGGTTCTCCAATTCTGGTGCCAGATTGTAAAAGCGATGGTCAAGGCCGTTTGGAGTTGGGAACGACCCTAGCTGTTCCTATTGTTGCTGCATCACGTCTATAAATAATTGTGGGGCAGGAACATCTTCCTGTACAGTGGCTGATGAGAAAAGAGATGGTCACTGGGGTTCGTGGGACCCTTTGAGACTAGAGTGGGATCTAATCCCATCGCTACAATCACCCGTGCCTTACGCAGAATTGATTTGAAGATTGCAGGAGGGAAAAGGCCGGAGAAGAGCGGCACATCGGGGGTTAACCCCTCATCCTCCGATAATTCTGCCTCTCCTTGACTCCCTTCTTGCATCAGTGAATCCTCTCCATCAGAAGGTTAATCGGGTGATTGGGACTCCTGCCAATAGGACTGGTCCCTTGTTAAGTGCACACCCTGTGAAAGACTGGTAGAAGGCTTCACTGGAGGGGCTACAGGCCTAGGGATATTTTGGCCTGTGAGACTATCTGTGCTATTAATAATTTAATCTCAGCAGGTAATTCCGAAATGCAGTGCTCACCTTGCCACAAACCTGCAGCAGTAAACTTTGCAGAAACCTCTTTTCTGAAAGAGGAAGGCTGTGCTGCAGCAGCTGTTGCTGGGCAGAAAGTAGAATATGAGACCATGACATTATCAGTATGTGGAGACAAGTTAAAAGAATGCTCGCTTGCTCCCTCTGGTGACCAAGCCTGGGTAATTACAGGTTGTTCAGTCATCAACAGCTCAGGAGAGAAAGGGCGGGAACTTTCTCCTGCAGCACTATTAATGGCCTGCTGAGACTGTTCCTTCTCAGCTCTGCCAATTTCTCTCTCCAGAGTTTTATGCCTTCTGCTGGCATCTTTTTCAGAAGCCTAAGAATGCTTCTGCTTCCCCTGGGCCCCAGATTGGGAAGAGGCTTCTTTAACGGGGGTTGTTTCTTTATCCAGCGAAGTACTGCAGGAGAGTTGTTTCTTGGCTCTATGAGTTCTTCCCTCCGTTTTGCAATTTGAATAATGCAACCCTTACTGCAATCACTTGCAATCTCCTGCAAGCCCAATGGTCTTCCTGAAAACAGTATGCCTAGCCAAGACTAGGCAGGCACTTGAAGCCTTACCAGGCTAGCAGGGCAAATATGAGTGTGCCTAGCTGCAACTAGGCAGGGACTCCAAGTAACCAAGCCTCCACTGAGGCTGTGGCTTTTGAATATGCCCAGTCACCACTGGGCAGGGATTCTACTTCTCCTGAGATCTTCAGCCACTGAGTGTACCTAGCCGAGACTAGGCAGGGACTCCTTCTCGCTCCGGTGAAGCAAGGTGAGGCCATGCACACTTTCCTTGGCTCCGCTGCTCAATTTGAGGAGCCCTATATTGCTCCCACTGATGAAATTGGCAATCTGAGCTCCCACGGGCCAACAAGCAGCTGCTAAAAGCAAGCCACCCTTCAAAAAGATCCCCACTCACGATCTCGCTATCTGAAATTCCTAGGAATGGTCAGGAATCACTTGAAACCTCTCTTCAGGTTAAGACCGAGCTGAAACTGGGGCAGAAAAGAGGAGGACAAGGATGTGGCCCAAAAGAAATTGATAGCTCGGACTTAACAAGAAACAGAAAAATCAACCCGCATTCTTGGCCACTCCTGGGAGCTTTCAGGAGAATTTATTGTTAAAATGGTTGCAGCCCATCACTAGTTAAAATCCAACTGTGTTGAGACTTTCTGAGATAACATGAAACCTTTGATGTGAGTTTAGCAATTTCTCTTACAATTGTGATGCCATTTTTGTTTCCTTTACTTGAAATGGTTACTTTGACCTATATAACAGATTGTCCTCAGAAGTTGAAATAGTTTGCTATCAAATGGTACTTGTATTTCATGCATCTGTTGAAGTGAGCTATAGATTGTCTTCTAAAAAATGTGCTAATGTGAAAAAGTGCTACTGGACTCCTGATTTTTGGCTGCCATAGATTAACATAGCTTCTATAATAACAACAACAACAACAACAACAACAACAACAACAACAATTTTATTTCTATACTGCCCTTCTCCCGAAGGACTCAGGGCGGTGTACAGCCAATTTAAAAACACAAGATACAACAATGATTAAAAATTAAAATAATTAAATAGATTTGGCCGATTTAAAACCCCAAAAAATTAAAATACCCCAATTTAAAATTATTATGTTGATAGCCCAGCCTGGCAGAACAACAGGGTCTTCAATGCGCAACGAAACACCCGGAGGTCGGAGATCTTACGTATTTCCGGGGGCAGTTCATTCCACAGGGCTGGGGCTCCCACAGAGAAGGCCCTCCCCCTGGGTGTCGCCAGCCGACATAACTTGGCTGATGGCACCCTGAGGAGACTCTCTCTGTGGGAGCGGACTGGTCAGTGGGAGGCTATTGGTGGCAGAAGACGGTCTCGAAGGTACCCGGGTCCTATGCCATGGAGCGCTTTAAAGGTGGTAACCAACACCTTGAATCGCACCTGGAAGACCACTGGGAGCCAGTGCAGCTCGCGCAGGAGGGGTGTCACGCGGGCACAACGAGTTGCGCCCATAACCACCGGCCGCATTCTGGACCAGTTGGAGCCTCCGAGTGCTCTTCAAGGGGAGCCCCATATAGAGAGCATTACAATAGTAACATATAACATTACAAGTTCTGAGGAATTCCTGTTCTAATTAAGCAGAACATGATAAAATGGTTGTTTATGCAGGAGAAATATTTGCCATCTTGTTCAACCACAAACTAGCAAATAGGATAACATTGTTCTGACCTATATTAATAATGTCTTCAGGCACTATGTGAGGTCAACTGACTTCCCCAAAAATCTTTATACCAGCTTGAGAATAAAATCTCATTAAGGATTTTAATATACATACATAATCATAATAAAATATATTAAGTAGTATTAATAGCCTTTAATACAAGTATTAAAATCACCTTGCAGCAGGAATTCCTCTCTTGTTAAGATCCACTCTTACTTTTTCTCCTACATGTTTGTAAATCTCCATAAGTGCCAAAATTGCAGCGTCTCTCACCTGTGAATATGAAAGATGCTCATCAACAAATCTAAAAGATATTAAAATAAGCTGTCTTGGTAGTCTTCGACTTAAGACCCCAATTGAGTCCCAAATTTATATTGCTAAGTGAGACATTTGTTAATTGAATTCTGCCCAATTTACAACCTTTCTTGCCTCAGTTTTAAATGAATCACTGCAGTTGATGTTAGTAATATGGTTATTAAGTGAATCTGGTTTCCTCATTGACACTGCTTATCGGGAGGTCACAAAAGGTGATTACATAACCCCAAGACATTACAATTATCATAAATATGAGTCAGTTGACAAGCATCTGAATCTGGATCACGTAACCACGGGGATGCTACAACAGTGGTAGTTATGAAAAATGGTCATAAGTCACCTTTTTTAGTGGCATCATAACTTCAAAGCATCATTAAATTAACTGTTATAAGCTGAAGACTATCTATCTGCACAAGACAGATATGATTCCTCAATAAAAGTATATAGTACAAAGAAAATATTTACCTTTATTTGCTGAAAACATGCTTTGTATCACTATTACTGTAATATCACTGATTAAATCATGCTGTGTAACTATAATACCCACTGCAATTTATTTTACTTATATATCACATTTAAAACCTTCCAAATCTATCATAGACTTTTGGCAGTTTACACTATAAACAGGATGTATAGCAAAAGTATAAAATTTAAAATCCTCTGTAAAAGCCAAGTTATATTTAAAAATCACAATTTATCCAATTCTGACTGGGCCATCAATCCACAGTGAATTCCATTCAAAGAAAATGACACCAATTACATAATAATCCAAAGTAAGAATGACAGCTTCCAGTTCTCTTCACATATTCATAATAGTAATCCAATATACCATAATCCTCAACTTGTGACTGATTACTTAGAAACTGAAATGCTGAAAGCTGGCAGTCATAGTTTACCCAAGATACTAGCAAAACTATACTTGAGATGCCTCAGAGGAGAAAAAATACCTGTTGCAGGGAAAAATGCTGAAGTGATTCTTACATACAAGAAAGGGGCCCAAGATGATTTAAAGAACTATTGTCCAATCTTTCAGTCTTTCATCTACAAGATTTTCATCAAGAAAATAGCAAAAATAATATTGAGAACATTAAGTGATACACAGCCATAAGACCAGGCAGGTTTCAAAAGTGGTTACAGCACAATGGATCACATCCAGGTTGTTCAGCAAATCATTGAAAGGCAATGAGTACACCCTGCCTCTGGGCATGGCTTTCATTGACTACGAAAAGGCATTTGACTCAGTATTCCAACAAGCAATAATTAATGCATTGCTCAATCAAAGGGTAGACACTGTTTACATAAATTTACTGCAATCAATATATGAAAAAACAATGGCAATAAGTTGACTTAATTATCTTAAAGTGGAAATAACTTAGAATGAGTGTATGACAAGGCAATACATTATCACCTATCCTTTTCTCAGCTTGCCTTGAAGAAGTATTTTGCAAACTAGATTGGGCAACAGTTGGAATAAAAATCAAAAGTGCCTATTTAAATCATTTAAGATTTGAAGATTATATTGTTTTCAACTGTCCAATTGGCATTTGCATAAAAAGAAACTCTTGGGACAGTGTTTTACAAAGAGTATAATACTTTACTGAAAAACTACATTGGCACAGAAGTGAAACCATTTCTGGATTTCCCTTGCAAATGCAAGCATAGTTATTTCCTCCTTTCCCTCTGAATCACCCATAGTCCATTATGTCCGCCAATCACTTCTGTTCATTTTATGAGAAAACAGCTAGCCACACTCTGCATCCTTGAAAACTTCCAGAGATGCCTCAGTTGCTTAGATACCATCCCTTCACCTTTGCATTCCATTCCATCACTGCCTCCCATTTTTTGTCAAATTGTGAGAGAAGGAGAAAATGTAGGTGAAAGGGTGAATCAGTCTTGATAGTTCTCTTCTCACAAGACCTAACCCTAACCCTAACTCATAAGAGTACAAAGATACATACAAGAGCTGCACAAAGCAGGAAAACCATTTGGCTTAAAAATAAACCTGAAAATGAGAGGTTATGTTTAATAAATTAACCAAAGAAAGAAAATTTGTTATATCTGGAGAAGAACTAGATGTAGTAGACCACTATATATACCCTGGCCAATGGATCTCAATGGAGGGTGATACAATAAAGGAAATTGAATGGCATGTTAAATGGAGTTGGCAGGCATTCAGCAAATTAAGCATAATTTTCAAGAACAACCTCCCACTATGCCTGAAGAGAAAAGTTTTTGATCAGTGTGTGCTACCTACTCTAACATATGTCAGCGAAGCCTGGAACTAAACTCACAATCAATACAAAAGCTAAGAGTGGCACAAAGAGCCATGGGAAAACACATGCTCAGCATTACAAGACAATATAGAAAGACCCGCACATGATTAGAGAACAAACAAAAGTATACAGTATCATCAAGAGAATAAAAGAACTGAAATGGAAATGGGCTGGTCACATAGAAGAACTGATGGCAGGTGGACCAAGGCAGTCATAGAATGGATCCCACTTGATAAAAAGCGTCCATGAAAGAGACGTAAAACAAGATGAATCAATGACATCAGCAAGTACTGTGGGCCCATTTGGCAAAAGAAAGCTTAGGACAGGTTGAAAACAGCTCTTCATCCTGCAGTGGATAAACAATGGCTAAAACGATGATGATGACTTAGAAATTGTTCAAAGTGATGACAGACACTCCCCAAAAAGGTACTTACAATTGCCATTCCAAACCCGTGTGGTCACATGATGGCATTTCAAGTCTGCTATTTATGGCTGCTTCAGCATCTTACAGTTATATAACTGCAGTTTGCACCCCATAGCAAACAAACGGTTTGTTTAACAAACATGGTGCTTGCTTATCAGCTGTAGATTCACTTAATGACCATGGTAATTTGCTTAATTACTGCAAAAAAAAAGTTGTAAAATCAGGTCTATCACCTGATGATCTGCCTTACGATTGTTATGGCTTACTACTGTAATGTCCAAGCTCAATTATACTAGTAAATGGAGGACTACCTATACACAAATCCATAGGTAACTGCAGGTAACTAACTTTCTGAGTGGCAAATGTGTACTAGGCAGTGCTGTACAGGGTTGTTTTTTTGGGGGGACCAAATCCAGTCATTGGTCATAGGACAATCAGTGGCAAACAGAACCCTCTCTCAGACATGTTTAAGGAAGCAGACCTATTGACCAGCCAGAATAACCTATTTAAGTGTTGTACACCTCCAAGATGCTAGAGTGAGACATATTGAGAACTGTTTGTCTATGGACTTCAAATGACTGATTCCTATCTAACTGTAAGTTCTTATATTAATGCCTCCACAACAGGCATTCTTCTGAGAGCACAGTTTGGTTCATCGTAATGAACTGAATTAAAATAGTCTGGTGCCATGGAATTAAGAAATAAGATATCTCCATATAAAACAGCAGCTAAATTCATGCAGGATTCAAATTTAGACTACCTAATGATGTAACTGTAAAGCAACTTGTTAACTGAAAGCTGAACAATCTTATAAGAATTAAAATTTATTTCATGTGGTATACCTTTTTAAAATATTCTCCCAAATATTTCTGCTAAAACTCTTATACATGTGTTTACACACATGTGTGTGTAAATAAAATGTAGAATGTTTGAAAACCATGCACATCTGTGTGATGGAAAAGTTATTTCCAAATTAAAAAGTTTATTAGAATAAGAGATCCAGGACAAGAATTAAGTTAATTCCTTTGTGATATGATCAGAGAAGCTATATTAATACAACAATACTCTAGTTTCTTTCTATTGTATAAAATTTATTAGAAAAACCAAAACTTGGGAAAGCTGCCCATAAGAACATGGACAACCAACTTTTCCTATTATTTTATAGAATCTGTCTGTCTGTCTAGTTACCTGCTCATTTGTAATCTTTCTTCAGAGATAATACCAACAACAGAGAAATCAGTTCTGTAGGAGCTTGTTGTGATGCTCAACTATAATAATCTTACCTGACTACTGGAGTCTCCAGACAAAAGACATAAGTGTGGAACCAGTTTGCTGAGAATTAGTGAGTGTGCACCATAACTAAGAAAACAAAACAAAAATGCAACAAGATTATTTTTCCCCTATCATGTAAAGAATCAATAACATCAACAGTTCTATTATCTAATTATTGAAACCTTATGTCTGGAAACATGAGGTATGAAGTAGTGAAAATTCTGTTTTCTGTTTAGAATATTAAAATAGTACAAAATTTCAGAAAATGTCCCACTATTAACACAATTTAAGAGCTTTTTCATAAAATTAAAATACATACGCATTCAATGTTGCAACAAGACACAGACACACGCCTTCTCGTGAACGATAGTTCTTGTGTTTAAAGCCAGCAGCAAGCCGCTCCCAAATGAACTATTAAAAAATAAAAGATAATGGATATTTAACACTAAATACGTAGTAGCTATTATAAATTAAAATCCAGTTTTATAAATATCCAAACAAAATAATTGTAGTTGAAAACATAAATATTTCCTCTTAATTTTTCTTTGTTAAATTAAATCTTTTCATTGTGGTTTCCATGCAGAATGGTTCTGAATTTCTTTACAATAGATTTTTAATGTACAAATTACGACTTGATGTATTTATTGTGCACGTTTATGCTCCTATTTCTGTCCACTGTCTAATTTCAATGCTGGTTGTAGTCTTCAGTGAGCTTGTGTGATGATCTCTGGATCATTCTTCTATAATAAATCATTTGGACTACATGCATTTGCTTCCACCTATTTTTCCACCATTAATCTGCCCTTATTCCTTTCTTATTTTTATCTTTATGATTCTGGACTTCCTAGGAGCTTTGCTGTATCATGGCAGCTAATGCTATAAACATGAAGCTTACAAGACTAGGTTGCTTTGAAATATCACTGCAAAAATTTTTTAGCAACTACTCCCTTTAGCTGCAATGCTGCCATTATACTCTCTGTTGTTCAGCAGACATTCAGAAGAAAAAGGTTGCCTAGCAACTGCTGCACAGTGAGCAATAGCACATTTCTTAGACTGCAGCATTTTATGACTTACATCCTCCCAGTATTTAAATCATTCTGAAATAGAAACACAGTCTTTCATGTATACTTGGACTACATTAGCCTTTGCTAACATTGCTCTTAATTTTTAAAATATGTTTTTAAAATAAATAGAGTACTATCTGTACTCTATATATACTGTGTATATATTCCAAAACAACTTCAGTGCTCAGCATTCAATACCATCATTCCAGATATTCTTCTAACTAAACTAAATCAGGTAGCTGACCAAACTTGTAAATGGATCATAAGCTTCCTAACAGACAGGAAGCAGCAGGTGAAGCTAGGCAAAATCACATCACATACCTGTATAATTAGCACAGGAGCCCCCCAGGGTTCTGTGCTCTCTCCACTTACACCAATGACTGCATCTCAAAAGATCTCTCTGTTAAAGTACTGAAGTTTGCAGATGATACAACAGTGATTGGTCTCATTCGAGACAACAATGAATCTGCCTACAAATGGGAGGTTGAACAACTAGCCTTATGAACAATCTTGAACTAAAGAATCTTGAACTAAACACACTCAAAACAGTAGAAATGGTGATAGATTTTAGAAGAAACCCTCCTATACTACCACCTCTTACAATACTAGATAACACAGTATCAACAGTAGAGACCTTCAAGTTTCTAGGTTCTATCATACCTCAAGACTTAAAATGGACACCTAACATCAAAAACGTCATCAAAAAAGCACAACAAAGAATGTTCTTTCTGCGCCAACTCAGAAAGCTCAAACTGCCCAAGGAGCTGCTGATTCAGTTTCAAAGAGAAATTATTGAGTCTGTTAACTGCACCTCTATAACTGTCTGGTTTGGCTCTGCAACCAAACAAGATAGACATAGACTTCAAGGGATAATTAGAATGGCAAAAAAACAATTGCTACCAAGTACCAACCTGCCTTCCATTGAGGACCTGTATACTGCATCAGTCAAAAAGAGGGCTGTGAAAATATCTTCAGATCCCTCACATCCTGGACATAAATTGTTTCAACTTCTACCCTCAAAATGAAGCTATAGGGCACTGCACACCAGAACTAGACACAAGGAGAGTTTTTCCCCAAATGCCATCACTCTGTTAAACAACTAATTCCCACAACACTGTCAAATTATTTACTAAGACTGTATTACTATTATTCTTCTCATCCTTCCTATTACGTATCTCCTCCCACTTATGACTATAACCTTGTTGCTTGTATCTCTACAATTTATATTGTTTTATTTGTTTCCTAGTATGATTTGATTGCTTATTAGTAACCTATGACTATCACTAAGTGTCGTATCTTATGATTCTTGATAAATGTATTTTTCTTTTATTACACTTATATGCACCAAAGACAAATTTCTTGTGTGTCCAATCATACTTGGCCAATAAAGGATTATATTCTATCTATTCTTTTTTTCCCTATTCTACTCTACTCTACTCTACTCTACTCTACTCTACTCTACTCTACTCTACTCTACTCTACTACACCATAGAAATAATTTGATGAAGTACAATTATATTCCTACTACTGTATTAACTTTGGCATCGCTTTCAGGTAGTTTTAAGAGAGCAAGTTCACAGTAAGTAAATAATGCATTTATAAAGCATTAGATGCTTATTTACTTATGAAATTTATATGCCGCCCATCTTCACGGTTTAGAATGTAGTGAAAGTACTGTCCAGGGAATCAATATAAATTACTTTCAAGTAAGCCTGCTCAGGACAAGTATCACAGAACGTACAGGACAGACAAGAACTTATATTAAGATTCTGAAAAAAATCAGGACCTAACGTTAATAAAGAAATAAACTTTAAACTTCTTGGGAGCTGTAGAAACTCAGTAAGCAAGCATTAAAAAAACCTCCAATAGGGAGGGACCAGGTGTTTCAGCCTTGCTTCCTTTCTTTAAAAATAATTGGCCATTACATTGCTCCAAGTTTTAATAGAGAACAGATCTGCCACTTCTTGAACATGACTGGAACCTCAGTAGACCCAATACTTCACACTTCCTCATAAGACTTGCTTTCTTCACCCTGTAATAAAGGAGCAAGCTATCCATATCCTATTCATTATTTCAGCCTGTTGGACCCTCTTTCAAGACAAATGGCAACTGCCAGCATAGACAATAAATATCTTCATCATCTCAAGTAAAAGCAAATGGTTTTGACACATATAAATAAGCAGGTTTTCTCTCATCCTTTTTTTTCTATTAGAAAGGAAAAAGTCTTTTTTAAAAGAATCAAGTAGAAGCTACTAGATGAAAGTTTAAAACTTATCTTTCCTTCCTTAAGTTAAAGCTAAGCCAAAATTCGCAAATCAGCACACATACAATAGCTATACCATGAACTCGCGGCATCACATTGCTTTCACATGACGTTTTCCTGAGTCGCTGCTCTGACATTCCTACTCCTAGGTATTCCTCACTCCTATTGGTTCGATTGAGTGCCAATTGTTTTCCCTCTGTAGCTCGGTTACGCCCACACTGTCTCCGCTTGGGCAGTCTTTTCACTCAGTTGACTGGATTAGACTTGACTGCCTTTGCTCTTCACAAATTTAATTATTTCAGTGTTTTTTTACTTAGTTAACTTTAAATTCAGCGCTTAAAATCGTCTCAAGGGCTGCGCGTCGTGGGATTAGCGGACGTTCAGCGCTGGGTGAGTTGGCGCTCCCGGGGCTCCAGGGCACCAGCTGCCACTTCGTTTAAATTTTTTTTTTTAAATTTGATTTATATGCCGTCCTTCTCCGGAGACTCAGGATGGCTTACAATGCATTAAGCAACAGCCTTCATACTTTTGTATATTTATACAAAGTCAGCTTATTGCCCCCACAAACTGAGTCCTCATTTTACCTACCTTAGAAAGGATGGAAGGCTGAGTCAACCTTGAGCCTGGTGAGATTTGAACTTACAGTAATTGCAGACAGCTGGTGTTAATCACAATGCTTTTAGTCTGCTGAGCCACCAGGCCCTGAATCCAGTTTTGGTTGCCACGATGTAAAAAATATGTGGAGACTCTGGAAAGAGTGCAGAGAAGAGCAACAAAGAGGATTTAGGGGACTGGAGGCTAAAACATATGAAGAACGGTTGCAGGAACTGGGAATGGCTAGTTTGATGAAAAGAAGGAAGGGAGACATGATAGCAGAGTTCCAATATCCAATATCTCAGGGGCTGCCCCAAAGAAGAGGGGATCAAGCTATCAAAGCACATGAGGGCAGGACAAGAAGCAATGGATGGAAACCAACCAATGGATGGAAATCTACCAGGCCCTAAATTAACAGCAGCGCTGCTGAGGCTTGCCTTTGACAACTTGTGCAGCCATTTGCCGTGGGTGTAGGGCTGGTTGTCTGGCATGCCGGCAGAACTGCCTTCACCCTCGCAGCCCTCGGCGCCTAACTTGCAGTATCTGAGTCCCTGCCTTGTCAGCATACTCAGCTCGTTGGGAGGACGCTTCGCAGTGGTTGATTCTTCCCACCAGAAAGATTTGTTTCCTTGCCTGAGAGGCGGCAGGACGAAAACAAGAGACATCGAGCCTGTTTATTTTGCCGCATATTGGGCTCGTGGCTGTCGGCTCATTTAACCTTAACGGTGGAGGCGGTTTGCTGAGGGGATCTCCCGTTCACGACCGCCCTTTTGTGCCGCTACTTCTCCGCCCGCCATTTTGAGCACAGCGACATTGGGCGTCTGCCTGCAACACCTTCTGGCCTGCATTATCAAGGTGGTCAGCGAAGCAACGGGCTGCAGACGTGGTTCTTGCATTGCCCTGCCTCCCGTCATCATTCTTCACCTTGGCAGATACTACAAAGGGAAGTCTGATTTAATTTTGTTTGAGGGGCCCCTTTGCGTGGGAGTTTATCAGGAGCACTAATTTCCTAGTCCCTTATCACCAGGGTGTTTAAGGGCTATGGCAGATGAGACCTTTCTTCGGACCTGGAACAGGTCCCCTCCCCACCCAGGGCTCGTTCCCCCAAGCCTGCAAGAAGCAAGAGGGTTAAAGCCCTAGCAGTGGCTCAACCAAACACCACCAGGCCAACCGCGACTGTTACGGGGGTTGATAAGGATGCTCAACGCAGGCATAATGCCCTGGAGCGTCAGTTTAATAAGGCAAAGTGCGCTGTGCAGTCTGGCCCTAGCCGTAGTACGTCTGAAGCTGCAGTGGAGCAGCACCCTCTGCTTGATACCTTGGCTCCTCATGAGTCTGATAGTGTGGATTGTCCACTAGATAACATGGCAGTCGAGCCACAGGACCCTGCTTTGACCTGTGTTCATGGAGGACTTGATCCGCCGAGGTCCATCCATTCAGGTTCTGCGCCCCTGCTTGCCCAGATAACTCATGCTCCTCCAGAGGCCACG